GTCCCCGGCCCTTTCCCCTGGTCCCGGGAGGTGCCCGTGTCCCATCCAGCCCCGGAAAGTGCCCGGTGTGTCACCCCCATCTCCCCCAGAGCTGCCCAGTGCGTGTCCCCCTTCCACACCCCCTCCCGGGTTGCCGGGGGTCTCCCTTCCCCCGTGTCTGTGCCCCCCACACCCCTTCCCGGGGGTGACCGGTGTCCCCCGTCACCCAGGGCTGTCCCCCCACCGTCACTCCCTGTCCCCTAACGCAGCTCTCCACTCTCAGGCAGGGAACAGCCGTCCCTGCGCCACCATCTCCTTCTCTTCCTCCTCCTCCTCCTCCTCGGTGTCTGGCAGGAGCCCCCCCCGGCACGGTGGCAGCTGGGGGACGCCAGGATGTGGCACGAAGCCCGCAAACACGAGCGCAAGCTGCGGGGGATGATGGTGGACTACAAGAAGCGAGCCGAGCGCCGCCGGGAGTACTACGAGAAGATCGTGAGTGTCCCCGACCTCCTCGTTATCCCACCCGGGGGACAGCGGTGGTCCCCGGTCTCCTCGTCGTCACACCCCCACCCCTGGGACAGCGGTGGTCCCCGACCGTCCCTCGATGGGCCCCGATTTGGGGTGCGCCTGGGGCGTTTGGGAACCGCCTGGGCGCTTTTGCGGCTGGTGTTGGGGTGGAAGAGGGGTGGATAAAGGAGCTGCCGCGCTCGCTGCTGCCTCCCCTCCACGGGGACCCCGTGGGGGTGTCCCTGGGTGGGCGCCCTAAACCCACACAGGCAAAGCCGCTCCCCCTTTTCCCCACGGATCGGAGCTTCTGCTCCTTCTCTTTTCTAAGACTCGTGCTCCCCCTTTTTTCTGAGGTTCGGGGCTCCCCCTTTTCCCTGAGGTTCAGGGCTCGGGGCTCCCCCTTTTCCCTGAGGCTTGGGGCTCCCAATTTGTCCTTTTCTCCGGTGCAGGAGGCTCTGGGCTCCCCCTTTTCTTGAGGTTTGGGGCTCCCACTGCCCCTTTTCCCCAGGGCTCAGGGCTTTCCCTTTTCCCAGAGGCTCCCCCTCCCCCCTTTTTTGGTTCAGGGTTCCCCCTTTTCCCCAGGGCTTGTGGCTCCCCCTTTTCCTTGAGGTTCAGGGCTCCAGTTCCCGCTTTTCCCTGAGACTCCCACTCCCCCTTTTCTCCAGTGCTGAAGGCTCCGGGCTCCCCTTTTTCTTGAGGTTTGGGGCTCCCACTGCCCCTTTTCCCCAGGGCTTTCCCTTTTCCCCCGAGGCTCCCACTCCCCCTTTTCTCCAGCACTGGAAGTTAAGGACTCCCCCTTTTCCCCTGGGCTCGTGGCTTCCCCTTTTCCCTGAGGTTCAGGGCTCCCCTTCCCCTTTTTCCCCGGAGGCTCCCACTGCCCCTTTTCCCCAGTGCTCAGGGCTTTCCCTTTTCCCGGAGGTTCCTGCTCCCCCTTTTCCCCAGGGCTCGTGGCTCCCCCTTTTCCCTGAGGTTCAGGGCTCCAGTTCCCCCTTTTCTCCAGCGCTGAAGGCTCCGGGCTCCCCCTTTTCCTGAAATTTGGGGGTCCCGCTCCCCCTTTTTCCCCAGGGCTTCCCCTTTTCCTGGACGCTCCCTCTTTTTTTTCCAGCGTTTGAGGCTCGGGGCTCCCATTCCTCCCTTTCCCCGAGGTTCCTGCTCCCCCTTTTCCCCAGGGCTCGTTGCTCCCCCTTTTCCCTGAGGTTCAGGGCTCCAGTTCCCCCTTTTCTCCAGCGCTGAAGGCTCCGGGCTCCCCCTTTTCCTGAAATTTGGGGGTCCCGCTCCCCCTTTTTCCCCAGGGCTTCCCCTTTTCCTGGACGCTCCCTCTTTTTTTTCCAGCCCATTCCTCCAGCTCCCGGAGGTTCCTACTCCCCCTTTTCCCCAGGGCTCGTGGCTCCCCCTTTTCCCTGAGGTTCAGGTCTCCAGTTCCCCCTTTTCTCCAGCGCTGAAGGCTCCGGGCTCCCCCTTTTCCTGAAATTTGGGGGTCCCGCTCCCCCTTTTTCCCCAGGGCTTCCCCTTTTCCTGGACGCTCCCTCTTTTTTTTCCAGCGTTTGAGGCTCGGGGCTCCCATTCCTCCCTTTCCCCGAGGATCCTGCTCCCCCTTTCCCCCAGGGCTCGCGGCTCCCCCTTTTCCCTGAGGTTCAGGGCTCCAGTTCCCCCTTTTCTCCAGCGCTGAAGGCTCCGGGCTCCCCCTTTTCCTGAAATTTGGGGTTCCCACTCCCCCTTTTTCCCCAGGGCTTCCCCTTTTCCTGGACGCTCCCTCTTTTTTTCCCAGCATTTGAGGCTCGGGGCTCCCATTCCTCCCTTTCCCCGAGGATCCTGCTCCCCCTTTCCCCCAGGGCTCGCGGCTCCCCCTTTTCCCTGAGGTTCAGGGCTCCAGTTCCCCCTTTTCTCCAGCGCTGAAGGCTCCGGGCTCCCCCTTTTCCTGAAATTTGGGGTTCCCACTCCCCCTTTTTCCCCAGGGCTTCCCCTTTTCCTGGAGGCTCCCTCTTTTTTTCCCAGCATTTGAGGCTCGGGGCTCCCATTCCTCCCTTTCCCCGAGGATCCTGCTCCCCCTTTCCCCCAGGGCTCGCGGCTCCCCCTTTTCCCTGAGGTTCAGGGCTCCAGTTCCCCCTTTTCTCCAGCGCTGAAGGCTCCGGGCTCCCCCTTTTCCTGAAATTTGGGGTTCCCACTCCCCCTTTTTCCCCAGGGCTTCCCCTTTTCCTGGACGCTCCCTCTTTTTTTCCCAGCATTTGAGGCTCGGGGCTCCCATTCCTCCCTTTCCCCGAGGATCCTGCTCCCCCTTTCCCCCAGGGCTCGCGGCTCCCCCTTTTCCCTGAGGTTCAGGGCTCCAGTTCCCCCTTTTCTCCAGCGCTGAAGGCTCCGGGCTCCCCCTTTTCCTGAAATTTGGGGGTCCCACTCCCCCTTTTTCCCCAGGGCTTCCCCTTTTCCTGGACGCTCCCTCTTTTTTTTCCAGCGTTTGAGGCTCGGGGCTCCCCCTCCTCCAAGCCCCGGGGGGGGTGGGGTGGGGGGTCACCGGGGCACCCCGCTGCGACGGGAGCTGCCGGTTCCGACTCAGACCTTCTCGGGTCTCTTTCGCAGCGGTTGCCTGAGGGTTCTGGAGGGAGGGCAGAGGGACGGGAAAGGCTGGAACGTGGGGCGAAGGGCAACCCCACGGCAGCTTTTCCGTACCTAAAATGTTAGAGAGGGCCGAGCTGAGTTTTTTTCAGAGGTCTGCGGTGAGAGGGCGTGACGAAAAGGCCAAAATTAGAGTCAGGGAGTTAATTAAGTACCGGCACAACCCCCGGAGGCTGATGGTGGTGGTGGTGGGGGGTGTCTGTTTTTGGAGAAAGGCGCCGCTCAGCCGCAGGGGGCTGCTGGAGTCGGCCCGGCTTTGAGCGGGGATGGGGCAGAAGGCAGATTTCGCCCTGGGGCTGGGGGCAGCGTTGTTCCCTGCTTGCTGCTGCTCCGGCACCTCCTTACCCTCTGCGGCCTCGACACGAGCTCCGGAAGAGGGCTTCGGCCCCTTCGCTGGGTTTTTAAGGGAATCCCAGACCGGCATGCGATCCTCTCCCTTCAAACACCAGCCCTGGTCTCTCGGTCAGCGAGGAATCTGATCTCGTTAATCCCAACGGAAAGGCGCCGTGGTTTTTCTGTGGCCCAAAATCCCCTGGGGGAGAGGGGAAACTCCATCTCCCCAGAGGCTTGCGAGCGCCGAAAGCTGCTTCTCCTCCTTTCCAGCTCCCCCGAGCAGGAGTCTGACGAGAGAAAATGTAATTACGAGCGGTACCGAGGCCTGGTGCAGAACGATTTTGCCGGCAGTAAGTGTCTCCTGCAGGCGGGAGGGTCGAGGCTGCGCTGAGACGGGGGGACCCCCCCCCCGATTTGGGGGAAATCCTAACTGATGGGGGCCACGGCTCGGCAAGGGGACAGCCTTGTCCCCGCTCTGGGGGTGGCAGGGTGCTGGGAGAGCTGCGTCGCCTCTTAACGAGCTGCGGTTAATCAGCTCTCTGAGCCGTTCTCTCTCAAGCGGGCGTAAAGCAAACTGGTAACTTCCCTGTGCGATTGCAGTCTCGGAGGAGCAGTGCCTCTACCAGATCTACATCGACGAGCTCTACGGGGGACTCCAGAAGCCAAACGAAGATGAAAAAAAGAAGTGAGTGTAAGAAGAGGTAACAGAGGAGGGTTGTCACGTCCCTGTCCTTGAGGGCTGTGCTGGGACAGCGTCTCCACGGCCTCGGAAACACCCGTTCTTCAACTGGTCCCAGTTTCCCCTCTACTGGGGTGGGACTGAGCAGCCTCGGCTGTCGTCCCCTGCGTCTCCACGCTGAAATATCCATCTTGTTTTTTTGTTGCTGCGGCCGCGAGGCTGTCCCGGGGCTGAGCGGAGCGGTGGTGGCTGAGGAGGGAGGCAGAGGAAGGGCTGGTTTCTTCCCGAGGAAACTTTCTGCCCCGACGCCTTCTTGCCCGGCGTGGAGCCGCCGCGCCGGAGGGGAGAGGCGGGCAGTGGCTAAGCGTGTCTGTGCCCAGGCTGGCGGAGAAAAAGGCCTCCATCGGCTACACGTATGAGGACAGCACCGTGGCCGAGCTCGAGAACTCCTTGGAGAAGCGAGGGGAGGAGGAAGACTCGGAGGAAGACAGCAACACAGACGAGGACGAAGTCATCCCCGATATCGGTAACGGCTTTCCCTCGCCGGGACGGCTTCGCCCCGTTTCGGCAGATGTGCCGAGCGCTGCCTCGCGGCCGGAGGGTGCGCTGAGCTGCCCGCGCTCTGCCCGCAGATGTGGAAGTGGACGTGGACGAGCTGAACCAGGAGCAAGTGGCCGACCTGAACAAACAGGCGACCACGTACGGCATGGCGGAGGGGGACTTTGTCAGGTAGGGGGGGCTGACGACCGGGGAAAACTCCGGGAGCTTGGCGAAGCCTCACTTGGGGCTGAATCCTTCGCGGACTTGCCTTTCGCTAGGATGGGGGTCCTCAAAAACCTCCCCTGAGCACAGGCTCCCTTTCTGGGTGCTGCCCAGTGCGCTGCTGTTGATGGTCTCTATTTTTTTTTTTTTGGGGGGGGTGGGGAAAGGATGTTGCGGAAGGACAAAGAAGAGGCAGAAGCGATTAAAAACGCCAAAGCTCTAGAAGAGGAAAAGGCGATGTACTCGGTAAGGGGAGCTCCGGTCAGCTCTGCCCCCTCCCGCTGCGAGCTGGGGCTAGCCGGGAGCCTCCCGGGGCACCGGGCTGTGCGGGGGTCTTGACCCCCCTCCCGGTGCTCCCGGAGGCACCTCTGCCTCCCGAGGGGGCCGGCAAACACCCCGGGGTGGCTTCTTTTCCCCCGGGCGGTGCCGTCTCTTAGCTCAGGCTGCTCTCCTAGGGCCGTCGCTCTCGCCGCCAGAGGAGGGAGTTCAGGGAGAAACGCTTGAAGGGGAGGAAGATCAGCCCTCCCAGGTGAGCTCCCGGTAGCCGAAACGGTGTTCCCAGAGCTCGGCCACGGCTCCGGTCCGCTCATATCCATCCTGGGCAGCTCCTCCCTGCTCCGTCGCAGGGTTCCGCGCCTGCGGCAGCTTGTGTGGGGTCCCGAGGGCTCCGTCCCCTGGTGACGTCCCACCGGTTTCCTAATTTCTCCTTCCCTTACGCCCTCTCCTCTCGCAGCTACGCACGGAGAGACAGCCCCACCTACGATCCCTACAAACGGTGAGCGGCCGCAGCCCCGGCACAACCGGGTTCTCCAGGCTGGGGATGTCCCCTTCCCACGGGTGCCAGTGGGGAACGTGGCACTCGGCCGGAGTGTTTTTGGCAACTGAAGCCGCCTCCCTCCTCGCAGCTCCCCCTCGGAATCCACTTCCGAATCCCGTTCCCGTTCCCGCACCCCGTCTCCCGGCCACGAAGAGAAGATCACCTTCATCACCAGCTTCGGTGGGAGCGGTGAG